AGTCAACTGTTAGTTTGGGGAAGACATGTTCTTTGCTGCACAGCTCAATGAGTTGGCAGAATGGGTAATGCAAACTATCATGCATAAGTTTGTTAATCCAAGTTGAAGTGATTTACAGGTCTTAACTCTCTCCATCGTCCCAGTGTTTGATTCAAAAACTAGCTGTGAAAGCCTTTGCAGGAAAGTAGTAATATAATCAAATCACAAATCTAATCAACAGCAGCTAATCCCAAGTCCAAGAACTCAAGAAGAATTTACATTTAATTCATCATGAGACAACAAATAAGTGAAAAAATTCAAATTTCCAAAAAAAAAAACACTTAATGATAAAAGTTTCTACCAAACCAAAAGTAGGTCCATTAAAATACTTGGGTGAATTTAGTGAAAAACTTTAATACTAAACAAGAAGGCTATAAAACAAAATTTGACATCAGCAGAAAAAAAAAGGCCTAAAATATATTAGGAATGATGAAGACAATGTCATCCAATAAAGGCAACTATCATGATTTTATTAACCAAACAGTATTATTTCTTAATGGTAAATATATTAAGTATGTCTACATTTATTTGGTAAAATACTGACCTTAATCCAACATGCAACAAAAAATTGAGTAAACTACTCAAAATATTAAAAGAAAAACTGTTCCTTTCAAACTTTAGAATGTTTTGCATACAAATCAACCAAGAACACCAAAAATGTATGGTTTACCAAAAGTCTCTAAGACACAATAACCTTTTGTGCAATTATGTCTTCTTATAACTCCTTAAACTACAACCTTGGTAAATACTCAACTAGATTTTGGAACCTCATGTTTCCAAAATAAGCACCCTATTAAAAAAACAATTCACACCTTCTACAACACTTGCATAGTTTAGACAGTAACATCATTATGTCTGGCTTGATGTCATAAATATTATCTCAAACCCCTTGTCATGAGGGAATACAACTTACTGCAGAAATTATTACACAAGACCACAAAAATAGAATATCAACATAAAACAGGAATATCTAATCGAAATGTCACAATTAGCCACATTTATTTACTTTCAATGCAGATTCCTTCAGTTACATGGACTGCCTTAGGAATCCATTATTAGATACTCTAACCACTTTTCTTACATTGCATAGAACAAATTGCCATAGTCAATCCCATATAAAAGCCTGCATTTTGGCTTATATAGGTAGATGACGTTTTTTATGGCTTTTCTTGTCAAGATGAACAAACAAAATTCCATCAACGCATAGACAACCTACACAAAGACATATAATTCACAATTGAAAATAACTACACGATAAATGTTTTTAGATGTTAACATCACATGAACTCCCATAATTTCCCTACTAATGTTGATTGAAAAAATGTATACAGCATAAATTGCATAAACTGAATTTCTGATCATGTAATCCACCAGAAGGTAGGCATTCTAAGAAGCCTTCTAAATATAACATACATTATATGTACTACATAAAACATTGCTTATATATATATAAAATATTAGCATACATCTTTCAGAAATTTTTAAAAGACAAGCAGATAAATATAACCTTATCATAATGACTAGATTCATTTTCACCCCTGAATGAAAATTAAACACTTTGAGGAAAGTATTTAACAGACCCAAAAACACTTACAAAATATATTATAACAATTCTCCACCCTTTTACATAGGTGAAACAGGACTTGAACATCAGATTAAAAGAACATCAAGAACCCCCTTCCCAAGTCCATAAACGTACGAACAAAAACAATCGGTTTTTCTGAACAGAATGTCATGGTACTAAAACGTGAACTTGACGTTAACACATGGAAAATCATAGGAACGTTATTGATATCGTCAAACAATCTCACAGTTTACAAATACCCAAACACATGTCATTGGTTATTATTTCCTCAGATATTCCTAATCTTATGCAAATATTTTCATATTTATTCACTTTTTTTTTTTTGCTCAGCTATAAATGAATAATCTGTCAATTTACAAGGATTGATATGCATAAGTAACAGCTATCAGTTCTAACATTTAAATACATTGTTTGATTTTTGAATGTTGATTTAAGTACTAAAACCGTATTGACAGTTGAAACTCTTATTCTTGAGAATGGTTGCACCAGTGTTTGAAACATTATACCTGTTTTAAAAATATTCTTTCTTACTGTAACTTGTAATAAAATAATACTTATAATCAGCAACTAACTCAAAAATGAAACGGTTGTGTACTTTGTTTTTTCAATCTCAGTATGTTAGTTTATGATGATTTTTATACCTGGCCAACTTGAATGAGCTAGATTCAAAGGTGTTAGGAATAACACACCATCCATGGTCAGAATTTAATTAACTTATAAACTCTGAATACGTTTTGGATTATAAATGAAATAAATGTCTTTTTACATATTATTTGATGGTACATTTAGTTTTAAATTTTTAATTCCAGTGCTGGAGTTTTCTTTATGCACAATTTGGTTATTATAGGCCTGACTAGATTGTTGTCAGGCTAGAGGAAACAAAAATGTGTATTTAAAAATGCAACATCGATACTGTTTTCAAATCTATACTACTCTTAAAAACATTCTTACTTGGATCAAGACTATTTCGACTCAACAGAAATGCTAATGTTCAGAATATTGGAGAAACCAAGCGACCCGTTCATGTATGAATGGTTAACCACCAAAGAGATTATCAGAAATTGTAATCCAGGTACATCAATAATGGTAAAACATGCTAGGGAAGAAAAGCATATCTTCAACTTTTTAATTTTTTATCACCTGATGGGATAAGTCAAGTTAACAGTCATCCACTCAACATTGCTCTTACTTGATTCAAAATTTGATGTAGTAGTTCGATGTCAATGTTTTTACATTTTGAAGAAATCTGATATTGTGAGAGAACCCATGTTATAAAAATTACAAGGACATTTGTTTTTCAAGATGTTTTCTTAAATATTTAAAATTTTACTTGGTGAAATATGTAAATTTATACAAAGTGTCTAGTAAAGATGTGACATTCTAAGCTTTAGATTCACTTAAGAAATGAAGTAAGATTGTTTTTTTTGTTGTTGTTGTTTTATAACAGTACTATGACATTAGTGCTAAGAGCAATTACAACTTTGAGAGACCATTCCTGTGGTTAGCAAGAAAACTGATCGGTGATCCCAATCTTGAGTTTGTGGCGATGCCAGCCCTTGCTCCTCCAGAAGTTTCTATGGATCCAGAATGGCAGGCCAAGCTTGAAAAAGATATGAAGGTATAAAAGAAAAATCATCTTCTATAATTGCATGTCTGCCTTATTTATCTTTAAAGGAGTTGCATTTTGTCATGTTGACCAGTTAGTGTAGTTGTACTGTACAGGTAGATAAATTTTTAAAGTTAAATATATATATATTTTTTCTTCAATTATTACTTGAGCTTGGTGGAGTGTCACCTTAAGTTGAACTAGCTTCTAATTCTAAATGTTTTATTTTCAGGAGGCCCAGAATACTTCATTGCCAGATGATGATGATGATGACCTTTAAAAAACTTTTAGTCTAGTAGAAGGAATAAACAATTGGTTTCAACTGCTCTGCTATAACAAAACATTTACCAAAAGAAAGATGTGTAAAACTGTTCTAAAGAACCTATTGGTTTATACAGTTTAATAACGTTACTCTTTCTTTTCATCAGCATTTGGTTTATTTTTTTATGCCAATGATACAATTTTATTTCTTGTCAGTTTCTCTTGTTCAAATGAGTGTGTATGATGTATTACACGTGTTAAGAAAATAACCCATTTTCAAATATAAGTCTTGTGAGTAATTGAAGTTATTCTGTTGTTAATGTGTGCTTTGGTTAGCTAGTGTGTATTTTTAATTCATACAACTACAATTTGTCAAAATAGGATTTTTTAACCTCTTGTAATTTTGTGCTCCTGAAACATAATTGTTACTTAATTGCATAAAGCATCTTCCCTGCAGGGTTTGTTTTTAAGATTTAAAGTATAATACCTGCACTACAAATTTATTACAGGAATATTCCCTTCAGTTCTGATTTTTCACTATGATCAAGATCTGTCACTGAAGATTATTAACCTATCTATTGTCAGTTAAGTAAAACTTGGTTTTATGATACTGATTACTAAGAACAACAGAAAGCAGCAGTTGTATTAATTAGATAATAAGAATATTGGATAGTTTGGGCTCTATGCATTAAGGTTTTAGAGGTCATTAGCTCAGCATCATGAATAGTATGTGGTTTGTGGATTACTGATGTTTATGTAGTTCTGCAAAGAGATTCTTGATTGAACACTTCTATTATTCATTATTCAAATTAAGCTTGGGGTTTAATCTAATGAATTAGATTTGTAGCTGTAACAAGACCTTGCTGTTTTTTTTTGTAATCAACTATAATTATCCTGGTAGCATTTTTGGTTATTTCAAAATCCTGTGAAAAAGGAGACATTTTGTTATTTTCAATAAATCAGTAATGAATTGTAGTTGTTCGTGGATATTACTGTAATTATAAAGTAATATTTAAAAATATACTCTAGTAATATCTCCTTTGTAGCCTTAAAATTTATATTTAACACCCAGTTTTTGTTTGACTGCTGCATTTTATTTGTATTCAATCAAATCTCCAATCTCTGTCAGTGGTAAATATTTAAGACTTAGTGATAAGTATTAGAAGCTGAAACAAAATTAAAATTATGAAACATTTTCTCCCTTGGGTGAAGATATTGAAAATCTTTAGATCCAAGATTTGTAATTAATAGAGAGACTAATAAAAAAAAGAGAAAAAAAAAGTTATTTTTGAAAAGAATTTTGTATGTTTAAGATAACTAAATATTTCAATTTTTCAGTATTGTTCACATTAAGTTTTGAATTGTGAATCAAGTTCAATGCATTTCATGTAATTTAACAGTACACTACAGTTGCAAATATGACTAATGACTAGAAAAAGTACTTTTGTTCCTAGTATTTCGCTATAAGAGAGTTATCCAGGGATAGTTATAACAGCAAATTATTTAGAATAAAAATACTTGCTGGTGATTAATCATCTTTATTATCATTTTCAAGTTAGTGTTGCTCCATGGTGCATATTATGATCACTAAAAATATAAAATACACTAAATTTTTAACTAACTCTAAAGACTTCTAGTAGGCAGAAAGGAAATTAACAACTACACTGTTGTTTACCAATAAAAGTAGAACTCTGAAGTAAGAGTATTTTGAACATTAAGTCTTTTAAAGTGTTTCTACTCCAATACCTAGCCTAAAATATTTTGTTTTGGCTTGTGTACTTGAATATTTGAGTACATTGCATTCTTTGAATTTGTAATTCAAAACACCTTCAGTATAAGTAATGGAACCGTGGTTTATTTAACGTTTTTATAGATTAAATTTTTATTATATTCACAAGCAGTGTTTTTTAATTCACTTAAATATAATTAATCAAGAAAACTGTTCTGATGAGAAGCAATATCATGTATTTTGTTTTAATTTAAGTATAATTTGTAAATTTTTCAAACTTTTTTTTTTTAAATAAAAAAAGTGTTCAGTTTTAAATTTACTGCAAATATTATAATATAATCATAGATGAAATTTTCAAGTAGTCATATCAAATATGGCAAAAGGCAGCACCAGCATAAACCAGACTAAAACAGCAGTAACAAGAATTTGTTGAAATAGTGTACTGAATTTAGTAGCTTTTATTCTTCATTAGTTAAGTTTTCATTTTCAGAAATAAAGCATTTACAGCTCAGCTGTTGTAGCTGAAAACAACAGTTCATAATAGTTCTTAATTCAAACTCAACTTTAGTTTACAAGACTGTGACCAGGGATTGGCTAACTTGAAGATGTGATTCTTTCAAAGTTATTATCTAGATTCTATATAATAAAGATGATGACAAAAATTCTAGTGAAAGCAATCTTAAACCCACAAACATCATTTGGCTAATTTTAGTCAAAATAATGACATGTGCATAAGGTGTAAAACCAAATCAATCTTATCTTTGATGGACTCTACAACCAGTTGTTCTTTACTGGAATTCAGAATTAAGAAATGTTTTGATAGTATTGAGAAGATAAAACTATAGTTTCTATCTAGCTGATAGACCAAACAAATTTTCCCAAATTAAATAGAATATTATAACTGCATTGATTTTTAAATCATTTGTAGGGTGTTCTGCCAATTTCCTGTATTATTTTTCTTAATTCTTTAAATGTCAAATCTAGATAAAGCTTGTCAGAAATCTTGGTGAAACCGAGTAAAAAAAAAATTATTTAGTCTATTATAAACAACTAGAATATTTAATTTTTACTTACCTCTTATGTTGAAGTGCAATTTTAATAGTATATCTTTTAGTTATGAATGTTCTCTTCTTTTGGGATAAATGTTAATATAAAGAAAAAAAATTACATTTAGAGGAATATATATATTTTATATAATTATGTTTGCCTCCCTCATGGAGAGGAAAATACTACTTTCTGTCAATTTCTTTCTCCTCTACTTTCCTAAAATTTACATTTGAGCCTTTAGATACCTTCCAACAACTCCCACAGACTGAAGCAAAATAATAAGAGATCTGTTCCTTGCTATTTTACAGGAAGCAACGATAAAACAGTTTCAGAGAACTAGGGCTTTTGGCATGTCATTTCTTTATACTGTGTGTCCTAAAATACCTATTAAGCTATTGTTTTTACAAATTCATCTATCCACCTTCAGCATTTATACACATACTGAGTTATCACTGATCTACAAGTAGAATTGGGCTTTGATCCAAAGGAGTTGCTCTTGTGTTTTCTGTATAAACAGTACCTGGATGACCCACATTTTGGATCCTTTATGTACCAAACCATTTTCTTCAAATTTCTCTTTCAGTGCTTTAATTGTGTTTGAAGGACCTTTCTCAACTACACCAACCACAACATTAGCATATCCAGTTCCAAAATTTATAATGAACAACAATCCATCCATCTTGTTGCTCATTTAAGTAACCTTCCAGCTGAAAGCTGTAACAACTAGTTACTGGCAGCAGGTTAATTCAAGGTTTGGAGTGTCACCAGTAAGAAGTACTCAGAGCAGAGTTCCTAAATTGAGTATGATGGAAAAAGAGAGACCTTAGCCAAACTTGCAAAAAATTTGGAAAGGCTTGGCCAGTTATCTTACTCATACACTCCTCATGAAATTATGCAATTAATGGTCATTTTGGCACATGACCAACTTATATATATCATAACAGACAAGGATATGATAATTTGGCTGAAGTAAAGTAGGTGTACTTCTTTAAAGGAAGTTCTGCAGTTGGTAAGGAACTGAAATCCATTAAGATCACAAAAAAAAAACAGGCACCATTCAGAGGTTATGGGGATATCAGATCTCTCAGTATTAAAACATTAACTTCTACTAACAGTAGTCTATTATAATAATTAATCGGGCAACTAGTTAAACAAAACAGAGGAAATAATTCTTGAAGGAAGATACTGCCAGGAATTGCAAGCAAAGGCCTCTATGGAATAAGAGCTCTTAAAGAATATACTAGAAAGTGGTAGGTAAATGTTATAATTTTTGGAAATGTAACCCTTGCAGCCAAGACTGTAGGCATTCAACAACTGTTGATAAAGCCAAGGAGACAGAGACAAACCAGATTAAGGAAACAACAGATGAAAATAGGAATTAGCTGGAATTATGAGTTGAAATTCAGTTGTAGTATTTCCAGCTAAATACTACATATAATGAGAAAAGAAGTTTGTTGTTTGAGGGAAATGTCCAGGACTTATTGAAAGAAAATCTAGTTTGCAAATTGGCACAGATTCCACCACAACGATTAACTGTTTGTCTCTATTTGTAAAAGAAAGATGGGAAATTGCCACCAGAGATGAAGAAAGAGGATGTATGGATGTAAATAGCAGGTGATCATGAAGTTCCATCAAAAGGGAAGTTGAAAGTTGCACTTGACTGTAAGAAGTTTCTATGTGCTTCATGAAGTGTGGATAGTTATCATCAATAAAATGTGCATTTTGGGAACTGACTTCATGTGCAGACATGGGTGTGAGATCAGGCTAGTTTCATAGTCTATTAACAGGAAATCCCTGTACACTACATGGCAATCACTACACAGGAGGTTGAATGTCCAGTAGTATTTGAACCATCAAGAAGTGAACTACTCAAATCGGGAGTTGATAGTAGTAATTCTTCATTTTGTGAATGGGGCATAGTGGAATCGAATGTTCAAGCATGCCATGAGGAATTGGTTGTTGGAAAACCTCTCCTGGTTATGACTTTATCCAAGAAGACTTACCATGTGATAAAGTAAAAGGTAGCTATGCTGTAACTGCTGATAAAACTATATTATAATCGAGTGACATGGTATGTCTCAACTTTTGTTGTTGTGAGAAGAGGACAAACTCCAAAGTTAAGTGGGTGTTGAGAGAAGAGGAAATCTAAGCCAAAGTTCATCCACCATGATCATCTTTAGAAGTACATCGGTGATAGAATAGTCAACTGAGTAACTCTAGAGAGTTGTCAACAGAACCTCAAACTGCAGAGGAGTCTTCCCTGTCGCAACTACTTTTAGAGGATCATCAAGATTGGAGCTGCCAGTGTATTCATCTGACCACCTACGCATGAATAACCACTCCAATGACAACAAGGGACAAAATTTTCATCTTGTCCTAAGAGAAAACTACCAAAAGGATTTGGTGAATGGACAACTTAGTGTAATTTTATTTTTTTAGTCAGATTATTCAAGAAACCACAATTTGGGAAGGGCAGTGTTATAAGTTATACTTTTAATGTTATAATTTAAATGTTGGCTACAGGACGATTAGGGTCTTAATGATAAATTCTGATCATAAAGTTCAACAAGATAGGCCTAAAACACCTAAAAAGTTCTTAGGGTTTTCTCGTACATTCGAAACTAGTTTATAAACACGAGATGATTGTGAAGAGTAGCGAGTTGAAATATAGTTAAGAAAGTAGTTTTTCAAAATAAGGTTGAACCCGTCAGTATATTTTTGTGAAGTATTTATAATTATTTTTGCTATCGCGCTTATTGAGTCTTTTGAAATGAAGGTCTTCAACATGTTACATCAGTTTTGAGTTTTCTTCCTGATTAAGTATATTTTATTACAAGATACAGCTTTCACAGTAAGTAAGACTTGCTTTTAGAACAGGTACGACGTTTCGAGCACTGGTGCGATCGTTCTCAAGTACAGAAATTTTAACGGTAAAGGACGTTTTTAATCTTTAAATCAACAATCTATTTAAATTCTGCAATTGAGAATGGTTACTTATTTATGTACAGTTGTACAGATCAATCTGCGTGAACTGATATGGTATTTATTTATGACTTAAACGCAGAAAGAAAAAAAACAAAGTGAATAAATATAAAAAATACTACAAAATATTTGCACAAGATTAGGAATGTATGGTGAATAACGATCAGAGACGTGCCTGGTTATTTGTTAATTTTGGGATTGTTTGATTTTATTAATAAAACTTCTCTGATTTTTCCTCCCTTAATGTCAGGCTTGTGTTGTAGTACTGTGACATTCTGTTCGGGAAAACTGTTTGATTTATTCATATACTCTCACGCACTTAGAAAGGTTTGTGTGTGTGTTCCTTCAACCTGATCTTAAAGTTACGTCCTGTTTCAATTATGTAAAAGGCTTGGCAACTGTTACACTTTATTTTGTAAATGTTTCTTGGTGTGATGGATTAGTTTTATAATTTTCTTTACGTTATTTAATTTTCATTCCAGGGATGAAAATGAATCAAGTCGTTGTATTAAGGTTATATTTACGTGCTAGTATTTTCCA